ACACACACACACACACACACACAGACACACACACATACACACACACACACACACACACACCCTCTCACTGGCCAAGCAATCTGTGAAATCACAAAACATATCCTGCTGGATAGTGATCTTAAACCGATTGAAAGGGATGCAAAACCCACAAAAGAACATGGGAAGATCTTGTAGGATTGTCCAGGATATGAAATCAAGAACATTTAAAACATCAACATAATACATCAAAGATTAATTTTTCATTTTATGACAAGAGTAAACCACCAAAAACCAGAAATGGACAATGGCACTTCAGGAGCAGAGAGGGTGCCTAAAAAAACTAAAGGAAAACATATAGATCTACTTCTAGATCAGCCAGTTCTCCATTCAGAATATAATCAAAGCAGTTTAAGAGGGCTGATAAAATCAACGTTTTGCTCCGCAAGTCCCCTGGGAGACACATGTGATCCAAGCACCCCCGTCGTTCAGCCTAATTGGATCTGATGCGGCACATGAGCAAAAATGTAACACTTAACCCCCAACCACCTGCATGCCTTTCCCAAAATACCATTAAACTAGACATTCATAACAACCACTAAACATGTGTTTTAGATCAGGGTTTTACTGCTATTTAGTGCTACTTTTAAAAGCTCTCATAATTAGGTGCATTAGTTCATAATATGGCACACTTTCATATCAAATAGGAAGGTGTTGCTTGGCCTTACAGTCATTTTTACCACAGTTAAATGGTGTTTAGGAGCATGAAACCCCTAAACCATTAAAAATGGCACTGCCTCCAGTGGCTTTCGGCTTTTATAAATCAGCAGCAACAGCAAAATGATAAAAGACAATTTATCACATGAATGTGCAAAACTATATATTTTTAAAATCTGTTGGTTGCTCGAAAGACTAGAGAACTAATTAGTTGAAATATAGACTTGCCAAATAAGCAGGTTGAGACAGAAGCGATCACAGGAGTCTCGAGACATGTTTTTACAATTGACATGCCCTCTTAAAATCACAAAGCCAGTGGCCTAAGATGCTTAAGAAAATAGCATGACACAATGGCAAAACATGTAGTGCATGACTGCAATGTGTATGTGTGTGTGTGTGTATATAAGAATAACACTAAAATGTAATAACATTTAAAAAAACAAGAAATGAAATTATAATTTTTAATTTAAATATTTTGTTATTTATATTAATAATATATGTATTATACAGTACAATACAATATAATATTAATAATTTAGTTATAATTCATTCTTTTTTAAATGCTATTATTCCATTTTAATATTCCTATAACATATAAAATAAAAACCAAAACTAATTAATAATACATAATAATTTTGTCTATATTGCACTATATATCTCGTAATCAGATGACCTTTTATCAAAAGCAATGGCTCTCTTAGATGGTTTTCATTCAGGACAAGAACAAGTAAATCAAAACAAGTCAATGGGTCTTTAATGCTTTCCATTGATTAAATGGAGGTCAATGTTGCCTTGTGGGCGGCTCCATTAAGTATAGACCACAATGGATACAAACAGACTTGCAAATTCAGTGTAACGTTTTGTCAACCTGGTTCTTCACCACTGAATGAGACCGAGACAGCACAAAAGAGAGTGTTTTGTGTAAGACGTGTTGACTGCGGAAAGCATAGGAAGCTTTGATTACATCTTGAATAAGAAAAAAAAATGAAAGGAATGAGCTATTCCATTTAATGAAAATGATTCAAAAACGTGATATAATCAATTAATGGCAATGATTTGGCTCGTGAAAAAGAAGCTTACCTTGGAGAATAATTGAACTTAAACTAAAAAAGAACTGGTGCATTGATTTCCTTTTCTGGCATGCAAAAAATCCCAAGAAAAAGAGCGAGTGGGAGAGACTGTGGCTGCGGTGAGAGAGTAAGATTGTCTACCCATGAGAGAACGCACTCAGCGAACGTGTGCTCTAGCCAAGCAAGGTGTTAAGGCAGTGCAGAAGGAGGCACACAACCTGTGTCTGAACAAAACAAACACGGTCAGCAACTTGTTTTCTCTTTACGTTTGCGGTGTATGAACTTACTAAGGTTTAATGTTTCAAACTCAGCCTGGGAAATTCATTAGCCTCACAAAACTGAGCTAAACAGGCTTTGTTTCACACCGGTTTCATTAGGACTTTACAAATTAGTCTCAAATAATACAGAAACATTTACATCATCATCATCCAAAAGCACCAATATGTGTGTAGTTTCTGACATTTTCAAGAGGAATGGGGGTCTATATCAGCCCTGCATTCTTATCTTTCGCATATAAGCAGTGTCTACATTCAGGTGTAACTTAAAGCAGTTTGATCTATAGCGATAAGAGCATATCAAGGCTACAGGCTGTTGAGCTCTGGGATATGGCAATGTTTTTACCTCTTTCAACCTTTGAAGAAATCTTCAGAATGAGCCCGCCATCCTCAGTGTGTAAGCATATCATCCAGAGCAATGTTAAAAGGACTTCTGTGCCTCATAAAACACATCACGGCTAGTGTCCAATTGGACAAAACACACTCGATGCCTTAAAGAGCTATTGTAACACGGGATTTGAACACGTGATTGAATTAACTTCATGGAAATAAAAAAAATTAACCCTTACCTCCTTTCTCGAAGTTTCTGGATGTATTCAAACTTAGGCGTCAACTTCCCATTGGAGGTAATTACAGCCTAGATTGAGGAAAACAATGCATGTAATACAAATAATACTACTGCAATGTGCACCAAATAGATCACGCTAACAAAAAAGTACCATGGTATTGCATTTAGATATGCATCATGGTATGAAGTAACTGGAACCTGAAATACCAAGCCACATGAATATGGTGTAAGGTTATGCACCATTCAGAACTGAACTGAGATTTTTACATTCACATTCAATTCACTTTTGAATTTGAATCAATGAAGCAAACAGAATAGTATTTGAATCTGAATTCAAGTAGAATTACAAATTACTTTTTATGGTTGTCCTGAAGTAATATCGCAATAAACACGCATTTAAAAGTACATTTTAAAAATGTATGCAATGCAAAGAGTTCATTTCATTATCAAGCCATTTTTTTGTAAACCCTCCTTTTTTTCTACACAATTACTAAATATATTTATTGTATTTCTCTGCCTAATTTTCTTGAGATAACACAATTACAATGGCCTCTGTACCGTTTCAAAAGTTTGGGGTCATTAAGATTTTTTTAAAGAAATTAACACTTATTTAGCATAGATGCATTAAATTGATAAAAAGTGACAGTAAAGACATTTATAATGTTATAAAAGATTTCTATTCCAAAAAAATCTTGTTCTATTCAATTTTCTATTTATCAAAGAATACTGAAAAAAAATGCATCAATGTTTCCACAAAAATATTAACATTGATGATAATGAGAAATTACATCACAGGAATAAATTACAATTGAAAATATATTAAAACCGAAAACAGTTATTTAAAAATTGCAATAATAATAATTCACAATATTACTGTTTTTACAGTGTTTTTGATCAAATAAATGCAGCCTTGGTGAGACTTCTTTCAAAAACACTACAAAAATCTTACAGACCCCAAACTTTTGAACAGTGTATATGTGTGGAGAAATTCACTATTTTTGCAATTCCATTCAGTGCTGCTATGAATTTTCAATCTCTGCACTGATCTAAGCCACGGCCCTTACCTCAAAGTAAACAGAAATGTGTATTTCAGATTTCTCAGCTTTAGTTCCATACTGACAATCAATGGATGTGTGGATGGGCTCCAGTTGAAATGCCGCCCATTTAGCTCTGATTCAAGTTTTTCCACACATTTCTGAGTCTGCCTTCTGTGCAGCATTTTGTGCAGAAGTGCACGACCGCACACGAACGCAGCATAGAGGAAGAATTTCTCCAAAAAAAAAAAAAAAAAAAAAAGTTGTAAAAACACCCTCTTAATACACTCACATCTCTGACTTGTGGAGAGAAGTCCTCTTCCTCTAGCGGTCTGGTGGCGTCTGATGGGAGCTGTGGGACAAAGGCTACCATTACAAATCTGCTCAACTCATCAACAGCAGTATCCATCACATTAAATTCAACCAGCCAAGAAACAAAAAAAGTCTCTCAATCATAATCATACCAGTGTTCAAAGCACTCCTCTCCAGAGCAAAGCATCTTATGCTGCTGGTTCATTACTCACCACCTTGTATCATATCTTACCATCTCCCAGATGTAAGGGAACAGCCGGTCCCCAAAATACTCGGTCGCCTCAATGGGCAGCTGGGCGGGTAGGTTATCGATGGAGCACATGAGAATGCCATTACCTTCGACACTGCACAGACAAATCAGATTTCAAATCATTTTAAAAACGACATTTTATAAAGAACATGAATGTTACCAGGGCATTGCTATGGTGTTCTGAGTCGATTTTAGTGCATTGCTAAGTGTTTCTACAGTGTTGATGGGGGATTGGTTCATAAAAGATTGGTTCTTTAAAGGCTCTTTCCACAAAGTAATACTTCTATTGAGAACCATATTGTCCTTTTATGCTGAAATGGCTCTTTGTGTTAGAGAACAGATTCCCAGAACTTTATTCCTGCTTTATTCCTTGTTTTGTTTTAAATCTAAAACTGTAGAAATTCTTTCAATGCCACCTCATTACTGATTTCTGGAGTCCAGCCATACAACTACACAGGCTGTCAACACATCCTCAACAGGTACTTGATATCCTTCAAATATCTACAACTATTAACTTCAAAAATAGTTTTAAAAGTTTGGTTTAAAACATTTAAAGTGTAACTGGTTTCCTACCAATTCTGTCCTTTTTTTGTTTTAGAATATGAACAGAACATGTAAGTGGGACCAGCTCTTTATTTGAGGATACTTTGCTACTTTTCTCCACTAAAAATAAAAGTACCTAATTGTAAATAATAATTTTATAAGACAAGTAATATAAGACCAGGGACACAAAGGAGAAAAAAAACCATAACATAATATTAATAAATAATATAAAATATTATATTCAAAATTATTATATTAATAATAATAATAATAATAATAATAATAAATAAACTATTATTTAAAACGTTATAACACCATGAACATTGTATAAAGCACTGCCAAAGCATGGTTCTTTATGGAACCTCATAAAAAGGGTTCTATTTCACACCAAAAATGGTTCTGCTACAGTTACAAACTGAAGAACCCTAATCTGGTATGGTTTAAAACCATTTTTTCCTTAAGTATGCATGATATTCTAGTCTCTAGACATAACTCAGGTAAGTCTTTGGGACTTCTAGCTTGTTTCACCATCCTCCAGACCAAGCTTTGTGCTGAAGTTTAATATTCAGTGTCAGGGGGTTTATGCAGTTGGAGGAAGTAGTGCCACACCTGTCATGGTCAATATGCTGGTTGGCATCATACATGCAGAAGGGCTTCTCAATAGTGGTGCACTCAGTCATGAACTCAATGGAGCCGCCTGTGTCCGCAGAGATGTCGCAAATGGCCAAAAATCTGAAATTCACAGAGGATCAGATCGTCGTTTTCTCAAACAAAACTATCATATGACTTTATAAGGGTCAGCTTTTATGATAGAGTAGAAGCTCACTTGTGGGGAAGTGCAGGGCAGCCGTGATCAGGTGATGATGATGCAGGTATAATGGGTCTAATCAGTCGTTGGGCGTCCAGTCGCCGCAGCAGTCTGGGTGTGTGAGGGTCCCAGTATATGCCGTTTATCAGGCAGGTTGTGTAAGGGGCCACCTGTGCAAAAACAATGCATTTCAGTCACATTTGCTTTTCAGACACTGCATTCAATAAAATACGCAGTCACATTTCAGTGAAATTTTGCAAAATGTGTATGGGGAAATTCCAGACCAAGTGGACTTCCAATTAAACAACTGGATTTTGCCTGTGATGGAGGTAAATGCGACCTCACCTTAAAGGAATAGTTCACCTAGAAATGAAGATTTGCTGAAAATGTACTCACTCTCATGCCTTGCCAAGATGCAGATAAGTTTGTTTCCTCATCGTAACAGATTTGGAGAAACTTCCTCACTTGCTCACCAATGGATCCTCTGCATTGAATGGGTGCCGTCAGAATGAGAGTCCAAACAGCTAATAAAAACATCTCAGTAATCCATACCACTCCAGTCCATCAATTAACATCTTGTGAAGAGAAAAGCTGCAAGTTTGTAAGAAACAAATTCATCAAAGGATTTTAACTTTAAACCGTCACTTAATCCATAATAACACTTCCTCCAGTGAAAACGTCCATCCTCTGTTGTCCACACACATGAAACTGACATTTGTTTAGAACTGTTTTGGACTATTTTCACTTATAAACGGTGCTTTGTTTTCTGCATATTTCACTACTGATTCAGATGAAATTACTTTTTCACTGGAGAAAGCAATATTGGATAGATGACTCATATCTTTGCTGGAATCAACAGTTAAGGGGTTAAAGGTAAAAACATTTTAATGAATTTGTTTATCACAAACGTGGTTTTTCCGCTTCACAAGACATTAATTGATGGATTGGAGTCGTGTGAATTACTTGTAGATTATTGTGATGTTTTTATCAGCTGTTTGGACTCTCATTCTGGCGGCACCCATTCACTGCAGAGGATTCATTGCTGAGCAAGTGATGTAATGCTAAATTTCTCCAAATCTGTTCTGAACTATTCCTTTAAGTCGCAGCCAAACCAATCAGCTACCAGGTATTTACTTACGGTCTCCCTGAAGTGTGACGTATAAAGCTCAGGATGGTTTTCGTACTCCAGGGGGTCGTAAAGTCTGTCGCTCTTTCTTATCAGGTGGTGGTGTCTGCTGATCACTGTGCCGTACACTTTGGTCATGTCTGCAAAGCAGATTAGTATGAGTCAATTTGCATGCACAGCAAACACATACACAGCATACACTTCCTCCTATGTGTAACCATAAAAAAAAACAGGAAATACAAGAAGTACCTCCACTCTCTGAGACTTCTTTCAACTCATGAGGCTCCACGTACTCACAGGGGAGCTCGTTAAAAATGTCTTGGGCGCCCTGGAGAAGATGCATTTTAATTTTTATAATAATAAGCATTCCTTCTCATGCTTCTCTGTTTTTCAATGTAAACATGTGCTACACTGACATGTTTGAGGCACTTAGAGCATCTCATAAACTAATTTACGGAACAATAAATGCACACTTACCTTGGACACATTGCCGGTGCCAGTGAACACAAATGTGAGAGGTCCAATAGACTTGGGCATCAGACCTAAGGATATTTCATACCCACAATCCCTCACTGCCTGGATGGCCTGGCTGACATTTCTGTAGTTGTGCGCCATACCAATGTGCTGTCAAATGACAAATATGAAAACATAAACCTAAAAATTGCAGTTCTAAATCTAAATCAAAAATCCTGAAAATGCACCAAATAATTTACTAAATAATAAAGAACCAATAACTGAGTACCACGTATAATAGTGTAAGCGGCAATTCAAAAGTAGACATTATATTAGTTGAGCAATTCAAAAACAAATACCATAAATGGGGTGTGGTGTCCAAGAGCAAGAAAACGCAGACCCAGACCGTGTAAAATGTTAATCATTCCTGTGAAAAATACAGACAACATGTTTAAATTACAGCAGGGAAACCATTTGAAGACATGCACTGCCATTCAAAAGATATTTTTATGTTTTTGAAAATCTCATTTTGTTTTCATACAAATTTGGAACTACATGAGGGTGAGTAAATGATCTCAGAATTGTACATCTTTTTAACTCATTATACATTATGTTGACACCATCAAAAAGGTCCCATACCAGCAACACCAGCCCACTGCCCAAATGCTACAATTCTGTAGCCATTGGGGTCCACCAGTTTTTCATAATCAATGAGTCGAACTTCCTAAAAAGGGAAGGATATTTTGACACACAAGTATCTTGTGAAAGCTGTTTGTCCTGAATAAATATTTCCAAATACATGTGACGCTAGAGAGAGTATTGCAGTTGGCTTTCAGTGTAAACACTGTCCTTGACCATGTGATTCTACAAAGAGACTTTCACCTTTTTAAGAAGGTCATCTAGGAGCCCCATGTTTGCCTCTTGTGCTTTAATTGTGTGAGAGAAGAAGGCATAGGTCTTGTGGGGGTACACCTTTTCCTCCGGGGGCCTTTTCACACCGATGATGAGAGACACCTCTGAGATGTCCTCCTGGATAATAGCGCCTGCTTTTTCATAGTACTGAAAACAGAAACAGTCTCAATTCTACTCAGTCGGATAGGATTTTCATTCATGCAACTACCAGAAATATCAAGTGGGAAAAGACACATTAAGAGCCCCAAAAAGTGGGGGAACAAACAAAGAAATGTATCAAAGCAGAATGGGGATGGTTGCAACTTCCTTTGATTACTGATTACATTTTAGTTTACCATTTGTTTTTATTTATCAATTATTTAATCGCAGGATTTCGTTTATTAAATAAGCAACACAGATCAATGCATTCATTTGGTAAATTGTGACACTGACAATGAAAAATATGATTTATATATTCACAACAACACTGAAGAACTACAAGATATATGACAAATTATTTCAAATTAAAATATGTATATTCATTAGTGCCGTCAAACGATTAATCGCATCCAAAATACAATTTTTGTTTACATAATATGTGTATGTGTACTGTGTTTATTTATTATGAATATATAAAGACACACACATACAGCATATATTTAGAAAATATTTACATGTATTTACATGTGTATATTTATATTCATATAAATTATATGTACGGATGTAAAATAGCCTTTGGCTAATTCTGGTACATTTACAGGAATGTTTTATTAATGTACAATGTCCCTGTCAACTAAATAAAGTAAAAAAAAAAAATCATATATAAATATATTTAATATATAAACATAACATATTTTTCTTAAATATATACATGCATGTGTGTGTATTTATATATACATAATAAATATACACAGTACACTCACATATATTATGTAAACAAAAACTTTTATTTTGGATGCGATTAATCGCGATTAATTGTTTAAGAGCACTAATATTAATTAAAGATATGTATTATAAAAACATTAAAGTTTGGGGTTGTTAACAATTTTTTTATGTTTTTGAAAAAACTATCACAGGCATGCTCACCAAGGCTACATTTATTTGATAAAAAAAAAAAAAACTGTCAAAACAATATTTTAAAATCTTCTATTTGAATATAACTGAAATTGTAATTTATTCCTGTGATATCAAAGCTGAATTTTCAGCAACATTACTCCAGTTTTCAGTGTCACATGATCCTTCAGAAATCATTCTAATATGCTGATTTGCTGCTCAAGAAACATTTATTATTAACAGAAAGTTCAAAAGAACAGCATTTATTTGAAGTAGAACTCTTTTGAAAGATATAAATGTTCTTACTTCCACTTTTAATCAATTTAAAGTGGGGGTCTAATGCTATTTCATGCATTCTGAGCTATTTACACGGTTAAAGTGTTGGATTCTCATGCTAAACATGGCCAAAGTTTCAGAAAACGATTACTGTGCCAACTACACTCCTTCCGGGTTCTTATATGTTTCGGAAAGTTTTTTTTTTTCCAAGCATGGTCCTTCATGACGTCATGAAGGGTGGAATTCCTTGTATGGTCATATCTCCCGAAAGAGCACGTGCACACGTCAACCAGGGGTGCATTTCCCAAAAGCATAGTTAGCTAACGATGGTCATTTACATCGTCGACAGCACTGCACAGGACTTGCTCGAGAAGAATGTCTCCAAAGAAGTGTGTTTTTGGTTGTGAGGGAAAGATAACCTTGTTCAGCTTCCCAAAGAACCCAGCGTTACATGAACAGTGGATGCAGTTTGTTTTTCCGTGGCAGCAATGGAGTTTCACAAGTGTTTGTTAGTTCCCGTCATTTCGGTGACAAATGTTTTATAAACAAGGCCCAGTTCAACGCTGGATTTGCACATCGTTTGATACTGAAAGATGGAGCAGTCCAAGCGATAAAAGATCCCCGTCATGATTCAGAACTGCAGAAGGTAAAAGAAACTGCATCAAATTTCTGCATTTTGTTGGCAATCGGCGCTCAAGAGCTCGTGACTCTTTAGCTCCTCCCACAGTGCACCTCCACAAGCTCGGCTGTTTTCAGAGAGAATCGTAAAAAACTGTATCTTTCTTTTATGAATATGATAAAATTAAAGACTATTTGGAGATATGAAGGATGCAATACTACTCTACAGGTACTCAAGATTAACTTGAGTTGGTGAAACTGTGTCATGTCCCCTTTAATGCATCCCACCAACAACTAATAATATGCAATACAAAAATGACCTGTAAAATACTGCTAACTACTCCACATACAGAAAATAATTCAGTCACTCACTCTGTCGTGGATGGCCCGTCTGTTGGAGGGCTGGACGAGCACCTTATGCCCAGCTGCTGTGATCTCCCTGACGTGTCGTGGTGCCAGAGGCGCGCGTCTCTCCCACACGTTGACATCCTCGCGGCGGATGGCTATGACACTCTTGTGATTCTGATGGTGATGATGGTGATGCTGAAACCTCCGCTGACAGCACACACAGCCCCTAAACCCTCGGCCCTGGCTCCTGATGAGACGCAGCATGACTGGACCAGTTTCCAAAACACACAGGTTACAATGACTACACACATCTGAAAATCACACTTGAGGAATGCTGAGAGTGATAGAAGTACAGAAAAGTGATCCCAGAAACCCAGTCTATGGTTTGCAAAAGAGAGAACTGCATTTGAACCAAGTCAAGTCAGTTTTTTTTTTTTTTTTTTTTTTTTAAGTATGAAGTGAAATTAAATAAATAAATAAACTTTAAATAAATAAACTAATCTTAATATATGACATAACATTAAAATAAATTTTAATATAAATGTTTAATTATAAAACGTATTAAATAAAAATACAGTTCAATAATAACTTCGCTCAATCACGTCCTGCTGATTAATTAGCAACAACTAATGCACCATTTCTGTAAATGCTGTAATGTTGCTCCTTTAAAACTTCAGTTCAAAGAGTAGCATATGTCATATGATCACATAAAAACTGCAGTAAACTGACAGCACCTGGAATGTGGTTTGCAATCTTTAGGAAAAAATTACTGTAATGCATTGCACACTAAGCCGTCAGTAAAACAATGGATCATTTTAATGTTAGTACTACTGCACAGAACATGCATGTATATAACCCGGGGCTAGTTGTCACACTTTTTACTTGAGTGAATATTTCTCAGAGGGAGGATATTTTTTAAAGTACAGTATGACCTTTTTAGAGTTAGACACTGAACTGTAAGTCTAAAAAAGTAATAATTAAATAAAAAGCAGAACTTGAACATGTCCACTGTTATTAGCCAATGGGGCATGTTGTCACACTAAACTGTCACAATGGGAGCTTACTTTGAGAAGAATACCATTTTAGGATATATCCAAAATATATGCATTTAAAATATGTTATTAAAAAGAAATAGTTATTTAAAATAAATTAGAAGGCTATTTAAACAACATAAACGATTTAATGAAACCAAAAGCATATAAAGCACATATGTCAACTTACCCCAACGTGATATTTATGAAAAGTACTACGAACTTTTCAGTTAAAAAGGTCCTTTAGTTTGAAACCAACAAAGAAAACCACTGTGAGAAATAAACACGCTGACATTTGCCTCAAAACCTGTTACTGAGAAACAGCCCTGTATGGTTGACTATCTGCTGTTTAACAGCAACAAGTGACTGACTGCATGCCGAGTTTTTCTGATACATACCTGTACCTTTATATTTAAGCAGTTTCCTAGCACCTACAACGTGGCACCGGCTGAATAATCACATTAACGTAGTATGAAATGCACAGGAGGTTTATATATAATAAAACCTAAAAAAATATATAAAATAATTTTATGCGTGAATGTGTCGCGTAAACGTGAATGGCGGAAGAATAACGTCACTGAATTGACCTGTCTCAAGACTTCAGTCAAATAATGTGGCGCTAACCAGACCTATCCATGCGGTATAGATTACAGCACAGATACTTGTTTCTGCCTGGAATGCGTCTCCACTTCAGTGAAGCAATCTGAGCCCAGGATTAGCTCCCACCAATCCCGACTCAGAACGCGGATCTGCCTCGTCGCATGCCCTTGACGTCGCGTCGCAGCTTTATGAGTGAGTAGCGTGAGGAAACAGGCCCCGCCCCTTTCGCGCGCTCCTACAAATACTGTGGCGCAAGGAGCGATGAGGTAAAATCTGTTCTTTCAGTTTTGTTTGTTTCTTTGTTCTTCAAATTCATAAAAATATCTTGCGATGTTATTATTAAAACCACAACAGACTTTTCGTGTTAAATAGATTGGCCAGGGAGCAAATACCAACAAATCAGTTTCCCTAATATTCTTAAAGTGTTATACCTTTGTTTGGTGTAAATGTAAATACAATTTTTACAGTCGTTTTCTGTCGGCTGTGAACGAGAATCAAAATATAACACGACACCGAGTATAGATGTAGGAAATAGAAATAGGTTTATGACAGAAAGACAAATCAAAATTCAGTATGCAAATAAATGCATACTGCATAAATTATTTTTTTTGGGGATGGGAGCATTCCTTAAGTTGTCTTACTGTATAAAACCCCAGAATAATAGTAATAATAGAATAATAGAAACTGAAGTTTTACACAAATTTACAAAAAGGTTGAATTGAATTTGAATGTGTTCCATTTTTGCATAAACTTGGAAAAGAAGAATACAAAGATGAGTATCAATACCGTGTTGCCTTGCAAGTCGCTCACGTCAGGCATAATAGGGATATTTTTTGGGGCATTTAGAGAATATTTAGATAATATAATATTGGGAGCTGTTCAGTCTTGTGGTGCTGAAGTAGTTTATGGCCCCACCCCATTACCACAATGCCTCGAGATCTATTTATTAACGATTTCAACCAAATCACTGGCATCTATATTCCAATAAATCCAAATACAAACCACTAATACAAGCTCTTTTAAAAAAAACATATCAATACATTAAATATAAAATAGTTGTACAAGCAACCTTTTTAAATCTGACCAATTACCGCTGAGCTTTGGCAACTTTTTGGGAAAATAGTCTCGGCACCTGTTTAGTACCATTATAATTGCAGTGGCCTCTTTCCCATACAGGAAATATAAATTTACCGGTTATAGATACTATATACAGTATATATCCCTAAATACTAAATATTTCCCTTTTTAGTTTCGTCCACCAGAGGGGGCCTTTCTCTTCATAATGTGCGCACAGTATATTTACAGATAGCCTACTGATTTCTGCAATTCTATTAGTGCCAGAAAAGAGCACTAGAATTATGATACTGATTATGGCATTTACATTTTATTTAGTTAAACTGAAATATGAAATAGGCTAACCGTCATTGCATAGAGCCTATTGCTCGACAAGAAAGAAAGGACGCTGAAACTCTTCCTTGGCATATTTATACAGTCTCGATCTCTCAGATATGATCTATTATTTCCATGAGTCTTCTTTATAACATGCGTCTTAAAAAACGCAGTCTGCTTGTATTCACAAAGAACAAAATATATAGCATAAGATATGTTTTATTTATTTTGATTCCCTTCCCCCTTTATCATATGTTTTATAATCTTTTTGACAGATCAAATGTCATTGGAAATTTACAACAAGCCTTGCATATATATTCACATTGATTTAACAAAACGTTTACAGTTGGCAAACAGTATAGCTAATACAAAGAACTGTATAAATAATAAACATATAAAATGGGGTTTAAAATACACAGCGGTCACGAGAATTAATGTTCCATAAACGGGTTTCGATTACTCTCTTTAAGTTAATGACAACAGTACAGTTTCAAATAAATAAGACTGTCGTTACCCTGAGAGTAAAAAGAATCATGTAATAATCTACCATTCACAGACGAGCTTCAACAAAGATGACGGTCGCTCAAAATGATACAAATAATAATCAAAATACATAAAAAAAATAAAACGTTGCATGCGCGATTAGATTCTTTTTTCTCGGAGCATTTTCCCCCGGGACGCAGAGGAGTTTCACTGCAGGTTCGCAGTGGGGGTCGATGGTGAGCGGGGTCCTGGGGAAATGTCGTGCAGTTTCCTAATGTGTTTCTTAAGATCAAAGTTCCTGCAGAAACCCTTGCCGCATGTCGGACAGGTGAAAGGCTTCTTGTCGTTGTGCGTGTGCATGTGAAATGTGAGGTTGTACACCTGGTGGAAGGCTTTGTTGCAGATATTGCACTTGAACTGTTTTTCTCCGCTGTGGGTCAGTTTGTGGTTTTTGTAGTTTCCTTGAAATAAAAAAAACAAACAAATGTGAGAAGCAAATCCCAAAAAACATGCCACAAAAAATAATATCTATCTATCTATCTATCTATCTATCTATCTATCTATCTATCTATCTATCTGTCTATCTATCTATCTATCTATCTATCATCTATCTATCTATCTATCTATCATATATCTATCTATCATCTATCTATCATCTATCTATCTATCATATATCACGATGAATATAAACTATAAAATCCCTTTTAGAACAGCTACCTTTCTGATGGAATCCTTTGCCGCAGAATTCACAAATGAAGGGTTTGTATCCCGCGTGAATTCGTGTGTGAGTGTTGAGAGTTGAACTTCGGTTGAAAGCTTTGCCACATTGGTTGCATTTATGCGGTTTTTCCTGCAAACAAATGGAGAAGAAACGTTATCACACACAATAAAGCTAAAGGCTGAAAAATAGGCTATTTTACTTTTACGAGATATTTCTATGATATTGTGATAAACTGGTTCATTACAACTACAATACGCTGATAAACGGAAATGAGTCCGAAATTATATTTCATTATTATTTTTTTTTTTATTGTTGTTGATAATTATTTGTATTATTATTCTTAATAATAATAATAATTATTATTATTAATAGAGGTTGCTAATTTTTCCGTTATTATATCATTATTTTGACATTTAGCCAACAGATTATTTTGAACTTAAACCATTATCTCATTAAAAAAATTTAAAAAATCCAAAAACGTCTTAAGAAATAAATCTTCTAATAGAGAGAGAGAGAGAGAGAAAATATAAAATGCCCCCTTTTATTCCATGATTTGATTCTAAGTTTTTTTTACTTGAAAATTGCATAATACAGAGATTGACAAATTCTGAATTATAATGTTCTTTTTATTTAAACAAAAAAAAACAATTGATTACATATAGGACTATTTACCCATAAAATATAACAGAAATGGCAAATTAGTAGTACACTGATTTTTCAAAGATGTAAATAAAACAGCTACTAGAGTAGGCTGTTTTTCAAGAAAATGCCATTTCATTTTTTTTCTACTTCGAAATTTCACATTTAATTCAATGCTTCTTTGTAGGATAATTGTGAAATTTACCAGCAAATGAAAATTGTTTCAAGTGTAGGTTAATAAATAGATTTGAGATACACCGGCAGCAGTTATATGATTTAAATAGTTATTTATCTATCTATCTATCTATCTATCTATCATCTATCTATCTATCTATCTATCTATCTATCTATCTATCTATCTATAGTGTTACACGATGAATATAAACTATAAAATCCCTTTTAGAACAGCTACCTTTCTGATGGAATCCTTTGCCGCAGAATTCACAAATGAAGGGTTTGTATCCCGCGTGAATTCGTGTGTGAGTGTTGAGAGTTGAACTTCGGTTGAAAGCTTTGCCACATTGGTTGCATTTATGCGGTTTTTCCTGCAAACAAATGGAGAAGAAACGTTATCACACACACAATAAAGCTAAAGTTATTATTCACTGAAAATAAACGGAATACTGATAAACGGAAGTGAGTCTGAAATTATATATTATTATTATTACTGAAAATGAGATAAATAGGGATCGCAAAATTTTCCGTTAGGCTGTATAATTATTTTAACCTTTATAGATTTTTTAAAACTTAAACCATTATCTCGTCATGAATAAAAATCCAAAAACGTCTTAAGAAATAAATCTTTTAATACAGACAAAGAAAATATATAAGCATGCTTTTATTCCATGGGTTTATTCTATTTTTTTAGGCCTACTTGAACATTGCATAAAACAGACATTTATAAATTCTGATTTATAATTTCTTCTTTTCTTTGTATTAAAACAAATAAGCACAATTAATGCGTTTATTAGGCTATATATATAGGACTATATTTACCAATAAAATAGTAGTACACTGTAAAAAAAGATTTTTCAAAGATGTAGGCCTAAATGAAACAAATATTACTAGAGCAGGTTACGTTTTACAAGAAAATACCATTTCAGTTTTTTTTCTACTTCGAAATTTCACATTTGTGTTACTTGCCGTTTCTTTGTAACAAATGTATCAGCAAATGACAATAGTTTCTACACAGCTTTTTCAGTGTAGGTTAATAAATTGATTTGAGATATTACACCAGCAGCAGTAATATGATTTCAATAGTTATTTGTAAAATCCTGATTACCTGAGTGTGGATGATTTTATGGCGGCACAGAGTGCTCGCTTGTCTGAATCCTTTGCCGCACACTTTGCAGACGAACGGTCTGGCGCCCGTGTGAACCGGCATGTGACGCGTTAAATTATAGTGCGCGTTGAACACCTGAAAATTGCAAATCGCGTTATAAAAAGTGCAGGATGCAATCTGTGCTTAAACAGAAGATCGATCTCGCTCGTCTCACCTTGCCACAAACTTCACAGGTGAACACCTTTGGTTTGGTCTGAGGAGAGCCGCTGTTTAATTTGGCCGCGGAGTTCTTGAACAGCTTCTCCGACAAGATGTGCGCGCTCTCCTTCATGTAATGGTGCAGGTGAGAGTGAGAAAGCTCCTTAAAAGACGCGCCGGGAGGAGCACACTTGTCTGGTTTGCTCTTCTCCGAGGAGAACAGGCTCTTCTGGCGCGCGTGCAGCGGTGCGTTGAGGAGGTACGACGCCATGGGGTGCAGGTTCACCAAACCCGCGTGAGGCGCACACGCGCTTTCCCCGCAGTTCAGGTAACAGACGGCGGCGCCCATGGCGTGGAACGACGCCTGGTTGACGACGCGCGGCCGGAAGAGTTTGTACTGTCCTATGGCCGATGGCGTCGCGTCTGGCTGCTCGTTCTTGTAATTCAAGCCGATGCTCAGCAGCTCGCTCGCGTTGTAGGAAAACGCGTCAGGGTGGTCTAATCCATTGACGTGAAGTTTATGAGGCGGCTCGCAGGCGAGCGGCATGAGGGGGATCATGCAGTGCAGCGGCGCGGGAGACTGCTTGGGCTCCGCTTTCCCCGCGGGAGCGTGGAGCAAGTTGGGGAACGGTATCGACTTAGGCTCGGGCGTCCTGGCCATAATCCTTTCGATCGAAAAAGCGAGAGGTTTGGAGCTCGCCATCATGCTTGCTCCCGTCGAAGCCGAAGGGGCGCCGAATATTCCCGCTGAGTGGTACAGCGCGCCGTCCATGACTTGAGCGCAGCACCTGTACCTGCGTCCTCCCTTTGTAGATAAGTTTGATTCCTCTCAGTGACCCGCAAGAAAAGACATCATCAAGCGCCAAGGCCCCCTGGCTGCTCCGCTGCTTGTCAATTGCGGACAATCAGCACTTATGTCCGCCCCGGATAGCTCAATAAAGAGTGTTTTGTCAATAGCGCAACTCAGGGCTCACCACGCGCGCACATCAAAGACGCGTAAAGCAGCCCAGATGCTCGATTTAGTTATATCAATCACTACAGCGGCTTCTCTCTCTCTCCCTACACTTGTCCTACACACTGCTGTGGGTGACTAACTCAAGAAGGTGCTCTTTATTAGCACTGTAAAGCGCTGGGCGAATCTCCGGTCCCCTCGCGCCTCGCTGTGACATCATTGCACCTCGCTCGCGCATGCATCATGTTTGTCAACATTTGACATATGAAAACTCCTGAATCACCTGATTTGAAACCGCATTCTCACGCGGTTTTTTTTTGGTCGGAGTGGAAGGGGATTTTATAACAACCTTATTTAGATTCATGAGTGAAACGTTTTGTCTGAAGTAAAGCGAACACAAATTCAGACTAAACTCTGTATGGACATCATGGACGCGATATTTGGATTTAGAAGTTTTGTTTAAACGGTTGCAACTGTTTTTTCGATTTAAGTATCTCGTATGAATTTTGAATGAATTTTACTGTACATTTCTGCCATATGGACATCAACTTGACATAAGTCACCACTGATAAGCTACAACTAGGCCTAAATATAGCCTAATGTAGAAACTTTAAAATACAAACTTACATTTTCTGTAAAGCTGATTCGCAACGATTTGTGAAAATCGCTATACAAATAAACTTAAATTGAATATTTATCTGCTACAAATTTGTTTATAAATCTACTTTGCCCTAAACTGTTGTTACTGACTATAAAACTAGGCTAAAAAAACATGAACATTGTGTGCACGAATATATAATAAAATGTGCTTGGTAAACACATTTTAATTCAAAATAGAAAATATGTAGGATGTATTTCAATTCGAAACAGCAAATAAAAAATCGAAACAAATGCATGCAACTCTAAAACCACAACAGTATTAAAGTAAATTAGCCTAAACAGTAAACTACGTATGTTTAAATGACATATTGTCCTGTTAATTTCTTTTTTTTAATACTGAGTCTTATAATGTCACCTCAGGGGGCTGTTGGTCACATATAATCGTAATTGTACCCCTGTAGTTAATTTTAATTGGTTAAACTGTTGGTGTTACCGCTCACCCCGTGTTACACTTCCCAGTCTCCATAGTGTTTAAGCGGTGGATTCCAGCAGCACCTGATATCTGATTTATAGCCTTCAATAAATTCACAGATTGTTCCTCTATTATGTCTACATACAATTTAATGTGAAATATAATAAAATAATTATTTGTTATGCTTTCGCGTCTCATTAGTGAAGCTTCACGCGACCATTCCACGGTTTTCCATCACGCGCCACCTCACGCGCACACAGATAAAACGATTATGAAAAGCGTTTTTCGCATCAGACGACCTTCGTTTCCAAACGCAAAACTCGTGAGGACATTCATCTGGGAATTGTGCGCCAAACGAGAGGTATTAACAGCAAAACGCCTCCGAGGAGCTGAGCTCATGCCATGAGAGAGTGAGAGAGAGTCAGTTCCGCGAGCAAAAGCAGAAATGAAAAGTGCAGCTCGGTGTGAAATACAGCTGACACTGATTCGATGCGAAGACATTTTTTTCGTGAAGGATTATTCTGTTTAAAAGGTAACATATATGGAAAATGAGCGCGTCGATGACATATCGTGGCTTTAAAATAGCCCATTTGTATGTTTATTAGCCTACTTATTCTCAAATATACATACTTTGTAATAGCCTATCGTTTTTTTTCTATTTATTTAATGGCTATTGACGCTCAGCAGTAAGATAAATGCGCTAAAATGATAATGTTTGTGTTTTCAGGGCGACTTTAGAACATTGCTAATTTTGACTGCTGTTCAATTGGAAGCAGATGGGTGTCGAATAACCTGCAATTTGGAGCTTTTTCTGTTGTCATATGCTGCTCCTCAGATTTCTTCAGCTGGGCGAAGGCAAAACGAAAAAACAAATCCTCTGTAATGATATCACGGCACAAATGCATCTTATTATTTGTTTCGTTTTGCTGAATGTTTGTATTTCAAGAATGGCATGTTTTATTCGGCGCCCGTTTTGAATATGAAATACGCTCAATCTAGCGGTAATCTGAATATGAGAAATATATATATATCAGGTTTAGCTGATTTTGAGAGTGTTTCATCTTTATTTACAGTCCAAATAATAGTTATCAAATATGATAATCAAATGTTCAAATACCAAATATGACTTGCTAAATAATAATGATGACATGCATACATTTTTCATAGTCTATTTTCGCTGCATTTTAGAGAAAAGTGCATTTCAGTAAGAAATGTAATGATATGTTTCGATGACAGAAATTGCCTCACAGTCGCGATTTATTTCTGACACTTGAAGCCTTGACATTTTTTAACCTCATATTTAGGTGAAAAAATAATAATAGTAGACTATCTCTTCAAGGTTTCTAGACTAGAATGCTGAATCGAAAATATCACAGTAAACCCCAAAAATAGTCGTCTTGTATATGCTATCAGAATTAAACAGCAAATGGTACATTTACATTAGTTGAATGTCATGTTGCAAGGGGTAACATTCTATTTTTAGATTTTATTCGACCTTTTAGCAAAATTAGAATGGAAAAATAATTTGAACTCCTACTATTATTGTGACCCAAGTCTTATTTAGTGTAGACGTCTAGAAATAATGGAGTTAACGCCGTTGTATGGTAAGCTATTCTAGTGTTCCTATGAATAGAATTCCATTTCTTTATTTTTTAACTGTTTGTTTAATATGATGCACAATAAAGATTAAGGCCATTTAAAGTGATGCTGAAAAGAACATACACACCGAATGGGTTTGATACCGAGACCAGCAAATGGCATAATTTTTAATAGTGGCTGAAACGAAACCTCAATAAAACAAAAATGTTGAATAGGTAAGATCATCGCATGCAAGCATTAATAAGTGTTTTAACAGTGTTTTAAATAAACAAACTAAAATTGCATTTGAAGTTTTTGTTTCCACTTACCTAAAATTTTATTAATTACAAACTAATCTGGCATGTGATAAATATTTTAAAACGTATAAAAATGTAAATATAAAAATTATACACATCTCTTTTAATGCTCTTTAAACAGCATAATGTTGTTTAAGACTTTTTAAATGTTTCATTTATAGGCTATACTCGGTGTTCATGTGTGTCATATAATTTCATGCAAAACAAAAAAAAAAAGACCAGTGAAATGACATTAAAAACACTTTAATTGTAACACTTAAGACACCTGGGCAATCTCAGGTGCACAAAGACAATAGAAATATACAGCTCTTGTTAAAATCCAGTGACATTTTCTTTCATCTGAAACATAGTTGGACATTGACAGCATACTATACATGACACACTTCTACAGAAGAATCTGAATGTGAATTCATAGCTATTGAGTGGAACAGTGTCACGACTTGATTGAATAAACAGTGAACAACTAGCATTTCATCCACCATATCTGGAGCTTTGGCCTGAGGATCCGAAGCTGATGCAAAAAAATAAAAAGTAAAGAAACGGCACATAAGCAGACGCTACTTCCCTCATGCTCTGTATGTCTAGTTTTCACTCTGGTACACCATGTCTATGATACACTTACAACTCATCGGCTGGTTCTTTGTGGGTAAATTTGTGCCTACAAGTGCTTCCCGAGCTTGCCTTGTGATGAGCCACCGTATCACTGCACATCAAATACAGAACGACAGAGACACTTTAGCTGTCTGTAAGTGGCCAATGAGAGTTTTATACAAGCATGGTGACATCGGCTTAGACAAGAGGGCAGTGTAGCACTGTCTAGGGAGCATGAAGCGTGAGCTCCAATCAGGAGAGCTGGAATCCGACCTCTTCGTATCAAGTTTATGACCGTCCAGTAGGTGGGACGTTAACCCTCTTCTTCATCACTGTCCCTCATGGTAATGCCCTGCAGACCGTCCGCGGCCGACACGGCTGCCGTGGCTTCCTCGATAGTGAGCCGGTTGTAAACGGTCTCGTAGCTCTTGTTGTTCAACGTGCCGTCAAACACACCCTGCAGCCTGAAGTCACGGTACGACTTCTGCATGACAAAAATAAAAAGCCAAAACAAGCATGGAGAACAATGAAATAGTTGAAGGACACGTCGATTTTACTTTTTGACTTTTGACTCGTACATCAGGATTCGCCTGAAACGGCACTCGTGAACTAATTAATCTCTCATTCTCATGGTAATGGAATTCGTTGTGCAGCCAAGCTGAACTTGACACTCTTGTCATGTGGTCAATTAGAATCAACAGAGTTTCGAACAAAAACTTCTTCACGCTGTATTCTTTTTTTTACCTTGACAATCTTGATGAGAGTTTTGAGTTGGTAAACATGCAGCTGCTGGTCAAGTCTGTCCGTCAGCCAGGCACACACCGCCTTCATCAAAGAGTTGTACCATTGCTGTGCATGTGAGAAAGAGAGAGATAAACCTTGAAGAGGACATAAATGTTATGCAAAAAAACCCTCAGTACTTTAAGCAAATGAAAAGATGTGACAGCAGCTAATGCTAATGTTAAAAAACTTTGTGTGTTTTTCTCCTTCGATTATGCCTTGAAAATTTCACATCCGCACTCTGAATTAGACGGTCCTCGAAAATAAACTTATTACACCTCAAGCTGCACATAAAACCGTTTTTTAACCAAAGAACCACCAAGAAACCGTCGACTACCTATTCAACGTATTAAATATTCATTAAGAGTCATTACTTCATTTCTCATTACTGAACTTACAAGCAAGTATCGTCCCGTGCCCCAAGTATCATTTGAGGTCGCGTTTGCACATAATAACAATTTTAAAGATACCGAACCTACTAATTACAGGGCTAACACTTGAATCTGTGAATAAAGGGGTCCCCTTGCACTTCAAACACCTTCAGTTCACATATTACTTCACGCGAGGACACCTTATATAATTACCGGTCTTTTCTATGAAAGAAGCCGGTTCTTTAATCAGCAGCGATCAGACTGTGAATCGGTTTTGCGCGAGAACCTCTGACACCAGCTTGTGTTTGCAATCAGCCCGGTAATTTTATTTCGGAAATCGTTAGCTCACGTCAACAAAAGACTGAGATTGTCCAGGCACTTAGAATATGATTTCACGCACAAGCAAGACCGAAACGTGTAAGACCACAGCATCGTGTTTACTGGCGAAATACATCACTTAGGACCGTTTTCATTGAGCTTCCCATGCAATTTAACATCAAGCTCACAAATTTACAACGGGAGCGTAAATGAATCCAAACAGCACACCAATAATCAGCTAAGTCCGCTCCTGCCGCTAACAAAAAGCGGGCAAAACGGAAAGATGAGATGCCACTTAATTGAAGCACTTAGGCTGGTTGGGAAACCGATGACTGTGCTCTAATTGTTGGAGGTGAAAGAATGGCAACGCATTTCTTCATATCAGACGAATCTCCGTTGGTAATCACATGCTTAAGTGTCCACTTCTCTGGTTCATTAGGGAGGCAGGGGAGGGCAGCCTCCACACCTGTGACCAGGCTGAGGGCCGCGGCCTCTCGCCGTGCAAACCTCATCGCTCCGCTAATCACAGTGATTTAGCGCCCCGGACAAACAGACCGCAGCCTGCAAGGGCATGCGGCGACTGATTTTCTTATTTCCTTGAGCGCCTTCGCAACACAGCACTGAATGGTACAGCGGCTCGTCCTTAAGAAGAAACACTCAAAAATATTCATGCCCAAACTTATAGCCGTCCAGAGATGCAAATTAGATAGAATGTTTTGAAACCGACGGATTCGTAAGACTTGAGGCTGCTTGATGAGGAAGTTTCTGCGGTGACACACGGCGACCCTTCTCTCAGCTCGCTCTCGGTGCATGACTGTGAGCGTGTGACGCACGTTAGGGGCTGCTGGTGTGCAGGGCACCTCTATCCCGCCTGCCTGTCTCCATCGGTGGCCTCGGCAAAGGTCTAATAAATCAAGAGAAGACATCAAACACTGCTTCTCTCCAATCTGGCTCGGAATAGAACGTTTTCGAAGGCAATCTGCTCAGGATTTATAGGGGCGGGAGGGTTGTGCACATCCTCTCGAGTGTTTGTGCCGTTCTATAGATCTGCTGTCTCTGGAAGCAGCTCGGAAGGATGAGCAGTGTGTTCTAAACAAAATTAAGGAGCGAGATGTACACGTTTGTGCCTTCTAGCTCTCTCGCTCTCGACGTTGTTTGAGAGTAAACAGGTCAACAGGAGCCCTGGGTGAGTGCTCAGGCACTGGAAGTGGTCACAGTGGGCTGATGAGTGCTCTTGGTGAGGCCTCATTGCCTCTTCCTACAAAAACTTTCCCCACCCCTTCTCACCTCCCTCGGCCTCGGCTTTACAATACCCACAGCTGAGGAAATGTGGTGGGAACGCGGTTGGAAAAGAATCGAGACAGAATAGAATGAGACGTTGGATGTTCATTCACATGCATTGGCATAAATGACACTTGCTTGAAGTAATTCCGCTGGCTTTGCATCGATCTGTAGACTTATTATGAAACATTTCTTTAGCTACAGTGTCTGAAAGCAGTGGAGTGAAACTGAATCTCATTTATAATGTGTTCATTGACTGGTAGGAACTTACGTCAAAGATTTTCTCTGCGTACATCTCGTCGTTCACACGGTCGCGCAGAATATCCTGGTTCTGTCGTACAAAGGTGATGTAGGTGTCTGCTAGATCCATACCAGGTTTCTGTTGAGAGTGACGGATTCAAAGTCAATTTGGTCATAAGATTTATTCATCTTGAGTCTTTGTTCATTTTTTTATGCAAAGCAGTGCTGTCAAATTGATTAATCATGATCAATCGCATCCAAAATAAAAGTTTGTTTTTACATAACATATGCGTGTACTGTGTATATTTATATGTATATATAATTACACACACATGTATGTATATATTGAATAAATATTTACATGTATACATATATATTCATATTTATATATGATTTATATTACATATAAATATATATTACATATATTTCTTAAATGTATACATGTATTTGTGTATATTAATATACACATATAAATTTACACAGTACACACATATGTAAACAAGCTTATTTTAGATGCAGTTAATCATGATTATTCGCGATTAATCGATTTGACAGAACTAATGCAAATCAAACATGCTGATGATTAATACAGAGTTATTCAAACTATAAAGGTGGACTAAGTAAAACATTTTGCACCTAAAGAAATGTACAATATTTTTGACAAAACATCAGTCAGATCAGTGGCCGGGTAAAAGCTGTTTAATTCTACATAAGGGCGGGTCCACCTCATGGTGGCGGCCATTTTGAGATCACATGACCAGTATATTCTAGTACTTAATTTCTTATTGGACCAAAAACTTCAGCTCTTAATATTGATTTTGTTTTGTCCGTGTTTCACGCCGTCTCGAATCGTGCTCGCGGAAAGCGCAGCTCGGTACGCTTTCAACTCATTCTTTTAGTCTCGAGCAAGAGACTGTACGACATTCACATTACATGATTTGACTGATTTTTACGTAGAAAGGGCGACAGCGCACCGCATTAAAAGAAATGATCATTCATGTTTTCATAACCGCTGGCCAAATTCAAAAACGAAACTAAAATTAAATCATCTTTGAGAGCAAGGGGGCCCCCTGGTGTTTCAGGGGCCCTACGCAGCTTGTGTATTTTGCGTATAGGAAGGATTGGCTCTGGATGCTGCATTCATGACAATTGTGTTAGTATGAAATTTGCGCAGTTGTATCAGACAGTTGCATCAAATAAACTAAAAAGACTTAGTACACCTTTAATTCAAATATTTTTTTTTTTTAGAGCAAATATTGGATTTGGAATATCTATTGGAACCAAGTTAAAACACGAATACCAAAACACTGACAGCCACCACCACTATCTCTGCCTGCTGAAGGATGTTCGAGAAAATGCTTTCAAAAATAAACACATGTAAACTTACTTAAAAAAAAAAAAAAAAAAGTACCAAAGAGCACCAAAAAGCACCTGCGACACTTATACCCTGTTAAAAGCAATCCTTTTACCTGTGAAAAAACATTTCTATTCACACTGGGGCTGTTAAAACAGGGAAAAAATGTCGTAATAGTGCTGTAATTGCTGTGACACGTTTCCCACCCATGACTCAACGGCTGATGTAGCTTGAGGGCTTGAATGCTGGAAAACCCCCTTTTTATTAGAGAGCAAAGAGACACCCGAACATCAACCTCCTGTTCTTGTCAGGCCTCTCTTCCTGTGAGTTTGTGTGTTGGTCATATGACAGAGTGAAAGATGTGACAGTACCAGTGTACTGAAGCTCTGGTTTTCCAAACAACAACCTACTCATAATTTAACAGGCATCTACCTAAAAAATAGCTTTTTCCCCCTAAAAATGTATCATAGTTTCCACTAAAATACTGTGTTAAGCAGCATAAATGTTTTTAACACTGATAATATAAGTTTCTTAAGCAGCAAATCAATATATTAGAATGATTTCTAAAGGATCATGTGACACTGAAGACTGGAGTAATGATGCTGAAAATTCAGCATTGCATCACAGGAATAAATTACATTTTAAAATATATTAAAATAGAAAATAGTTATTTGAAATTGTAATAATATTTCACAATATTACTGTTCTTTTTTTAATGCAGCCTTGCTGAATATAAGAGACTTCTTTCAAACACCTTAAAAAATCTTACTGGCCTCAAACTTTTGATTGGCAATGAATATATCGTTTGATATATACCAGATTCATCTCTTACGCAAACTGTCACGCTACTGAAACAAGTTATGTAGTAGTGTCACTAATTATAGTTAGCGGTTCCCTAATACTGGACCAGCAACACTCACTGGACGGTACAGTATAACCTCCTGACCGCATCCACAGTCGGCCGATATCCAGACAAACAGCAGCTGATCAAATACGACTGGGATCTCAAGAGGACTTCATATCGTGTTGAGTGAGAGGTCTTCACAGATATATATTATATTATCAAGAAAGGAAGAAAACTGCCACTTCCTGTGCAGAACCAATAATATCTCTGACTTATCATGGCAGTCACCTGTGACCCCATAAAAGGCACTTGGGTGGAAGCAAGACGGGGTCTTTTTAACCCAACGCCCTTCCTTCGATCTTCTCTTGACAGGACGACAAAGCCTGTGATGGACCGATAAGCACACCAAAACCCGATCTTCTCGTACGAAATCCAACCGGAGGACCGAGGGACAGGCCCGATCCATCAGGCCAGACAATGCCACAACGGTTGGGTGTGGGCTGTGTGTGAATGAATAAATGGAGAGGTGTGGGACGGTGCGATTAAGGCCAGGTTAATGACTGGTTAAGCTGAGCGGATAAATGGCGTGGATGGGAAACAGAGGAGAAAGGGAAGGGGAGACGAAATACGCAGTAATTACACAGAGCTGCTAACCTGGCTTCCTGCCACTGCCTCATTCACTGTCCAGGTGCAGGTGTGTGTGTGCGTGTGGTGTCGAAGCAGAGAGCGTGTGAAGTGTGTTTGTGCAAGTTTTGAGTAAATACTTTGTTGTGGTAGCGCTAGTGCAGATTCGAGCCATGGGTGTGAATGTGCGAACGAGTGTGTTAACAGAGCGCTATCGGGAGGGCGTCTCGCCAGAAAGCCCTGGCGCTTGAATGGCAGCCTTCACAAAGGAGCAGAGGAGCTTAACCTTTCGTGACAAGAGCCCAGAAATGTTCAGTGCCAAAGGCCAGATCACAGCCATGTTCTTCCCTCCCTCTCCGTCTTCAGCTGGTGCTGTGAAAGGGGCTTACATGGAGCAGCGTTCCTTCTGCACAAAAGCGCAAGGCGGAGGTGATGTTATAATTTGAGGGGGAGATGGGGTGTTCGCCCGCTACACACCTCGGGGAGCCAATGCCAAGAGCTCGGATGGAGCGATGGGGTGTGGATTTGTAGGGATTGACTGACTTTTCTGTTCTTAATCTTGTCGGTTTGCTTTTTACAGTGGCCCCAAAAAGTATTTGCTTTTCAAGTTGCGCCTAAAAACCAATAAATACAAAATATCACACTGAGAATCGTTTAGCTGAAAGCGTAGTTTACGCAAAATATTTCACATAAAGACATTGTTTTAAACAAACAAACAAAACAAAAAATTACTTAAAAATTAAGATGAAATAGTTCATACACTTAAGTCACACATAAATACGTCTGAATGTTATCGCATTATAGAAAATATTTAAACAGTGTAATATCTTTAAAGAATCATAGCACAAGCACACTTTTGAAGTAAAGTAGTTTTTTAAGTTTAAAAACAAAACAAACTTTAAAATCAAGACAAGATGTATTTAAACACTCACTTAAGACACCTGTAAATACGTATGAACGTTTTTGCATTAGATCAAATGTCAAATGAAGTGCATTTTAAAAAAAGAAATATAGTGCAAAATATAGCACTTGTAAAGTACATTTTTTACGTTTTTAAGTATTTTTTAAAAGATGTAAATGATAAAACAACAGGCAAACTGTTCAAAATCAAGACAAAATGAATTTAGACACTTAAGTCACACACACAGTAAATATGTATGAATATTATTGCATTAGATAAAACAGAAAATCAAGTGTAATATTTTTCAAGAAATATAGCTTATAAAGTTTTTTAAGTTGCAAATGATAAAACAAAAGAAACTGTTCAAAATCATAAAAAAACATTTAGACACGTAAGTCACACTTAAATAATGTATGAATGAATGTTATTGCATTAGATAAAATACCAAAATAAGTATAATAATTTAGATTGATTTTTTTTAAAATATATTTTAAATGATAAAACAGCAGATAAACTGTTCAAAATGAAGTCAAAAACTATTTGAACACTTTTTGGTGGTCAAGTATTAGTGGATCATGTTGGTAGTTAATGTGATGAACTCCACCTGTGGTTACTCCGCAGAACACCTGTGTGAACTTGAGGCAAACTGACTACATATACAGCCACTAAAATCACTCTTTGATTAAACTCATGCCCACATGGACTCTGCATTCACAAAATGCCACAGAAAAACTGTTAATAACAGGTGTTCCAATTCTGTAGAAATCCAAACATTCCCGGCCCTTGTGTGTTTGTATATGAAATATTTTTGTTAATTTGATAATGCTTACATCTGCCAAAAAATTGTAGTTCTCTCAGCCCTGTTGAACATTTTACAATGTTTAAACTTCATTCCACAGATTCCCCCCTAAAATCAGCACAGAAAAATGTCTGCAAATTTAAATCTTGTTAAAAGAGACAAAAAGAGCTAGTTTTGAGAAAAGGTTTCTTATACATGTATTTTTAGATTTTTGCTTTATCATCTAATGAAATTACATTTAGACATTTTTAAGTGTGACATAAGTGTTCAAATACTTTTTAGAGCCACTGTATATCACTATCTACTATAATTAGGTGTCAGTATTATTTTTGGAAAGATATTAATACTTTCATTCAACAAGGATGCATTAAATTGCACAAAAGTGACAAAGACATTTATATTGTTACAAAAAAATTCTATTTCAAATTAATGCTGTTCTTTCGAAAATTCTATTCAAAGAATTCCGAAAAAAACGGGCAAAAATACAATAAAAATTATATATAACTGTATTTTTGATAGAAGAAATGCAGCCTTTATAAGCATGATAGATTGCTTTTAAAAATCTTACTGACTTGAAATTTTTGAACGCTGGCATACTCTATGTATGAACACAAACTCTAGTCTGATATTAGTCACAGAACTAACTGGAATGAGGAGTTGTTCATGTTTTTATTCCGAAAGCCCTTCTGTAATACTGTGGTCTCGGACCAGGAGGTCATGTGACTACTCCGTCTTTCCCTCACCCCGTGTTAGTTTCTTTCTGCTTGCTCACTGTCTGTGCTCTGAACAGTCCTGGTTCCTGGTGATTCATTAGCATCTTTTTCTGCTTGTGACGGCCCATTGTCAACACTGTGGCAGATCGTGAGACTGATTTTAAGCCAGTCGGGTTGCTAATTAGTCTTGCTCAGCCAGCTCTGATAGACGCTCCAATCCTGCTTTCATTTGGCCATGAACCGCAAATGATAAAAAAAACATATAATCGTGTCAAGTAATGATGAAATAATACACATTAAGCCTTTTTAAATATTAAAAACAAAGCAAGATGGAAACGCTTGGCAAAGCTGAATAGAGAATCTGTTTCCCTAAGTAAATAATAAAACACACACACAAATGCAAAGCAGCATGCAAAAAAAATCCACACAGGGCATGCCGGCATCATGCGCATTTATACGTCCAAAATGACACTTACTGGGACGTCCACATATTTGGCTGCTGCTTTTACCTTTAAAAAAGAAGTACCTGCTGAATATCTTTGGCTTATTGAACGTTCAGTACGAAATGAGATCCCGGAAAGGGGTGTGTGGGTGGGATGAATGTGAAAATACTCACCGTGAAAGACAGGATGGAGGAGAAGAATGTTCCCTCGTCATATCGTGAGAGTTTGGACAACACCCCATCCAGAACAGCTGCAAACTGTGCAAGCAAAGAAGCATGTTTACGTGACAGGCGCATACGCCTTTCTCACAAGCAACAATTAACAATTTAGGACAAAGTAACATTAACCGATACAACGGATATAACGTTTCCCGAAACACTGGCGCGTTTCGAGTCGGCTCGCCGTGAAGGCCAGCTGAAAAGAATGGGCAAAAGCCAAATCTCAATGTTGTGAAATGTGGCGGCTCAAAAGAGGCCGAGACGATGGCTGTTGGGAGTACCTTTGAGACCAAGGTGGAGATCATCTCCTTAAAGGCCTCATCGATCAGGACATCGATTTTTGAGTGGTACTGCTGCTGTAGGACAAGATGAGGAGGAGAAACATCAACAAATACAATAGGCGCGATGGGAAAGGCACGGATCGCGAGGCATCCTAAAAGAACAACACACTCACAAAGACATATTTCAGCAGAGGGAAAAATCCTCCCCGTGCGATAGGGCTGAGTTAAGCAGCTATTAGGCCCATTATGCCCGT